AAATGCAAAGTACTCCACTTAGGAAGGAACAATCCATCACACATACAGAATGGGAAGCAACTGTCTCAGAAGGAGTACTGCAGAAAGGAATCTAAGGGTCATAGTGGTCCACAAGCTAAATATGAGTCAACTGTTGCAAAAAAAAAGCAAACATGATTCTGGGATACATTACCAGGAGTGATGTGAGCAAGACATGAGAAGTCATTCTTCCACTCTACTCTGTGCTAATCAGGCCTCCATTGGAGTACTGCATCCAGTTCTGGGCACGATGTTTTAAGAAAGATGTGGAGAAAGTGAAGAAGGTCAGAGAAGAGCAACAAGAATGATTAAAGATTTAGAGAACATGAGCTATGATGGAAGACTGAAAAAATTGGGTTTGTTTAGTTTAGAAAAGAGAAGACTGAGAGGGCACATGATAGCGGTTTTCAAGTACCTAAAACAGTGTTACAAGGAGGAGGGGAAAATTGTTCTCCTTAGCCTCTGAGGATAGGACAAGAAGCAATGGGCTTAAACTGCAGCAAGGGAGGTTTAGGTTGGACATTAGGAAAAACTTCCTAACTGTCAGGGTGGTTAAACACTGAAATAAATTGCCTAGGGAGGTTGCGGAATCTCCACCCCTAGGGATATTTAAGAGCAGGTTAGACAGACATCTCTCAGGGATGGTCTATACTGTGCATGATCCTGCCATGAGGGCGGGAGACTGGACTCAATGACCTCTTGAGGTCCCTTCCACTTCTATTGTTCTATGGTTCTAGTATTATAATTAGTCCAATTTATATAAATTTATAAATATATACATATGTTTATATATAAATATAATTATTTACTCTCAACTTTTAGGGTACATGTAGAAGTATCCCGAAATAGCAATGCTGCATCTTTAAAAGTGCCCACTATTCCCGAAATAGCAGGAGCTCTATTCCAGCATCCTATGGGATTTGTCAGAATAATGCCTTATTTTTTTAATTTGGCACTGTGTAGACAGTGCCAAATTTCAAAATAAGCTCTTTCGACTTAAACTCAGAATAAACTACACAATTTGCATAGCGCAAATTGTGTAGCTTATTCTGACCAAAGGGTGCTGTCTAGATGCACCCCTAGTTAAAAGAGCACAGTTGATCTTAACTTTTTCAGCACAAAGTAGTAGTAAAAATAACTCCATTTTACTTCAATAATATATTTTTATTATATAAATATATGATATGGAAAAGGGAGAAATACAGAACACTGTTGTGCATTTAAATAATATGACTGACCTGTGCAAACTAAAATTCACTACAGATAGTTGTAATCAGGAGGCTGGATTCTCAGTATACCATTTGACAATAAGGATTGCTTTTGTGGACCAATATGATCTCAAGAAATAACTTTAAACAGCCTCAAAATTGCTTAAAATGCCACCAGCTGTGAATGCTGTCAAATGGATATTCAGGCAGGGAGGCATCATTGGTTACAGCTCTTGTGCTGGAGGATAAAAAAGGAGGGATGAAGAACTGGCTGTACAAGATGTGTACTTTTGAAAGAGTCTCTGATGCGAAGAAGATACTTCATCTGCCTTTAGTCTTTGTTGATGCTGCCAGAGCAATACAGGCAAGCCAAAGCTCTCAACCATGTGTGTGTGGTGGGGGGGTTGTATTAATTGATAGGTCCAGTAAAAGAAGCCAAGGCCTTGTTTATTTTATTTTCATGTTCTGCAGGGCAATGCTCTCTTGTAATTAATCACTTCTGCTCCTTCCTGACTCAGCCTCTCTTCTTCCTACCTCCTCAACTCCTGCTCTTATCCCTTCCACTGCTGCTATCCCCATGGATTCTTGTGTTACTTAGTGCACCTTTGCAAAATATTGTAAAAATTATATAATCTCAGCATATATATATCCCTACACACACTCATATACTTAGGCATATTTCTCAGCAAAGAAATACCAGGGGTGATTTTCACTAAACAGAAATCTGAGAAAAGTGTTAGTACAGGCAACAGATGCTGTGTGTGTGTGTGTGTGTGTGTGTACTCATTGTTATGCCTTCTCTTCATTATTTCTTAATAAGAATGTTCTATTAAATATCTGTGTTACTCTGAAAGGAATTTGCTCTTGCTGCTTGTAAGTGCTATCAAAATAATCTCCATAGCAACTAATTGTGATGCCTTAAAAAGAGAAATACACAGTGAACATGTGATCTTCTTAGTTCTCTATTCATGCAGATATACCCAGCAGCTAAATATGAGGGTAGATTAATACCTAAAACTAATAGAAAACCAGAGCACAGAGTATGAATAACTCATTAATATTCATTTATTACATAATTGATGCCTAGAAGGGAAAATGCCTGCAAAATTGTTTTTAACTTCTCTTTACATCTTAGAATGAATATGCACTGGAATTAATGTTTACATTGGTATAATGCTTTTTTATCTATAAAGGTCCCAGACAAATATTGGGCCCAATTTCACATAGTAAGCCCCCTTTGCATTTTTGTTGTGATGCAAAGAGGTCAAGCTGGTTTCAATAGTCAGCAGAGAATCTGACCCCTTTTTTTCCCAGATAAATAGTATAAAACATTGGATGTGATGAAATCATTTCCCATGAATGTGCATGTGGTATTTGAATACCTATTTAAAAATGAAATTAAAGTCACCTGTTACCAAAGAATCTGTTTTGCCCTGTAACTTTCACTGAGACAGATTATGAACCCCTTACTCATGTTGGCGAGTGTGGCTGTTCAATGCAAAAATGGCTCACCAACATGAGCTGGGGATTCAGTCTAGCCTAATGTGATCCATTTTAGTTAAACACAGTTTGGTGAGCCAGTTTTGGAAGCTGTTACTGAGTAGGCAGGGGCAGATGACTGTTTTGCGGGGCCCCGGGCAGCATAATTCTGTGGGGCCCCCCCTTTGCCACAGCACATGCGCAGCGACGCTATGCGCATGCGCGGTGGTGCCATGGCGCATGCGCAAGGCTTTCTGAAGCGTGGGGCCCGGGGCGGCCCCCCCGTTTGCCCTGCCCTATATCCGCCCCTGTGAGTAGGTGCTTTTAGGTTCTGAGTATCTTCACCTCCCATTGACTGCAATGGAAGTTCAGGCCATTCATATCTTGGACAATTGGCCCCAAGAGGAGAAACTTACCAGCTACATTTTCAATAAAATAAAATGCAGTGAGGAAAAAAAGGAATGGTGTTTATCTGGACTGCATGAAGTTTTTAAAGAAAATAGACTTTCTGGAGAGACATGAAGGTAATGCCACTATCCAATTCACTTAAACGTGGAGTTTTTTTCAAATTAACGAACTATGCTAATGTTCCTTGGAGAAATTTATTGCTCTCACTTAATAAGTATATCATTATTAATTGGGCAAACAGGAGTCACTCCTTCTGATGGCAGGGATGCTGGATTACACAGCATGTGGATGTGAGCCAAAGATTTCCTGGCAGTAAGTTCTGCAGCAAAGCTCTTTCTCTGGACATTTTATGGTTATAAATAAATAAATGGCTAGATAAAATGACCTTTTTTGAATGAAGTCAGGAGACTGCTACAACTTTCCCTTCTTGTGACAATTTTTTTCCCAGAGAATTTGTTTTTAATTGTGGTCCCAGGCAAATTGTACAATTAAATCATGATTAGTCTCGTATAGCACACGTGAAGTCATCACAAAGTCAAATAAAGGCCACTGCAGACTAATAAGTGATAATAAAAAGAACAAGATTATGATAATCACTAAGTAAGTGTCTTCTTGCATTATAGTTATATTGAAGTGAAACATCTTACCCACAAAACAACTTGCATAAGAAGAAATATTAGTTAATAAGGATAGCTTTTTAACAATTTTATCTCACATTTGCAGAGTCCTTTAGAAGGAAAATGGTGGAAGGAAAAGGCATATCTTGTTAGCATGATGAGGCTTACTCTTTGGAAAACATGATGAAGCTCATTCTTTGGAAAGCTGTGCACATTTTATATGTTAATTTTATCATGCCTTTTGTCAGATCCATGTTAAAATAGGCATGAATCTCCTGTCCTTTCATATGTTGTTCAATGCTTAATTTGTGTGTGTGTGAGGTGCTACCCTGTGCTCAACCACAGCTCTCCTAGTCTTGGTACCTCATAATCCCGTCACATCTATAGTTACCATGTCAGTCATCAAAGTTTAAAAAAATATTTATTTTTGCTCTGAAATGTGTTTTTCCTTAAAGTTTTCAACACAGTTGTGTCCATCCAGGTCATGCCCAGGGTGCAAAGCTGGGAGAGTGGTGTGGACAAATAAATTTGGTTATGATACCATGCCCACCACAAGAATGTAAGAGTAGCTGTAGCTCTGGCAATGAATTTGTTGCACTGTGGTCCCTCAGGGGTTTCTGTTCTTGTTTTACAAGTATGTTTATGTGAACGGTATGCCAGAATTTTAAACCATAAAGTTTCCTGATTCTCAAGGGCTGTTTAAAAAATTCATTGATAAAACTTGTTAATGGTGGATTTCATTGTGAATTTCTCAATTTTAAACACTGGATTTAAGAACCTAGCATAAATATGGAATCTTTCCTCGGGGTCTCCGCAGAGAGGTCAAGGATATAATTATTATTTACATTTTACTCTCATGCTATTAGGCACGTTGGTGGGCTTGTCCGAGTAGTTTAAACAGTTTCATCTTACTCAGTGCTTGATCCCCTTATGCAGTTAAATAGAAGACACATTTTATAGATGCTTCATTACTTTAAAATAAAAACCATTTGTACCCTTTATGAGAACTGGCTTGTTGAAAGTTATATATGTGGTTTTCTGTGAACCATATGTTGTTAAAATGCACAGCTGTCAACAAAACACCTTGTTTCAAACTCCTTCAGGTATCAACATTTAGACCCAAGCCTTCCTTTGCAATTCCTGAACGTGCACCTACTAATGCAGTATATATAAAGTTATGCCCAACTATACTGCTAGATTTGAGGCAAATATTTGCAGTAAGAAATATTAATTATGTATGCCAGATTATATAACTTCAGGTTTTCATCAGGACAGTGATCTCTTGGATCGTCGGAAACACTGCTTCGGTGTCCAATCGGAATCTGGAGAAGACCTCTACTTTTCTGTGGAGTTAGAATGTGACCTAACCCTATGGGAAAAAGCCTTCCAAACAGCAACTTTTTTAGAAGTTGAACGAATTCAGGTGAGACAGCTGCCATAATGGCTGTAATTGGGAACATTATTAAGTGATAGTCACGGATGGAAATTAATAAGAAAAAAGGCAAAATAAGATGAAAACATCTAACCTTTAAATGGATTACTCACATTATTGCTGTTGTTATTATCATTGTTGTTGTTTGTTGATGTTGTTGTAATTGTACAGTGTCCTAGTTATTCCTGGTGTTTTGATTATATGCCTATCTAGCATTTCTCTGTATTACTGGAATTTAAATACAAGAAGACACTGTCACCTTTCCACAGGCATTTGTAATCAAAGGCTTACAGGACATTTTTACCCACATCAAATTTTTGCTTTTAATTGTCTTGGGTAGGTAACTCAGTAAATAGTGACAAAAGAGAAAATAGAGTCAGAAGGGAAACCGGGGACAATCATTAAAGAATGGAGAGGTAACAGCTTTTTGAATAGCATTGTTGTACAATCAGATTATATAAAGGACCAAATTCTGACCTCTCTTACAAGCATTAAACTTTCATTACAGCACATGGATATTGTACCAATGTGAGGGCAAAATGAGACTAACATTTTTGTTTTGTTTTTTCATACATTTCTACAGGGGTGAAAGTAACTTAAAAGTCTTACCAGTATTGTGGCCTGGTATGGGCCCCAGAAGTGACGGGCCCTCAGATGGAATGAGTGAAGCTGGAGACCAGCCTTACCCTTCCCCCCCAGTCAGCCCTTCAGCACTGCCTGGCCCATGCTGCCCAGGACTATGGCAATGACTTAAAGGGCCCAGAGCCACAGGCACCAACTTCTCATGTGCTGGAGCTCCTCGATCCTCCATTTGGTCCAGGCCACTCTTCCCCTAATCTCTGCTCTGCCATGTCCTAACCATGTTTCAACCCAGCCCCACTTCTTTCCCATCTCTTTCCCAAAGTGCAGTCTGTACCAACTTTGCCCCCTCCCTCCTACAGCTGGAATGCCATGAGTAGCTGTTTGCAGTACTATGGATGCATTGGGAGGGAGAGAAAGGAGTTGATAAGTGTGCAACCACTAGTGCACGAGAGACGTGGGGGGAGGAGATTAGAGATGGTAGAGGGGAGGCATGGGGGGAGAGAGCTCTGCACCCACTAATTTTAACCTGTGGGTCTTCCAGCCCCAACAAACCCAAACCTATGGCCAGGGCTCCTTTTTAAATCAGTGCAACTGCCTTTTCCTTCCCCCACTCCTTCCCCATCACCTTGCCTCATTCCCACTCAAAGAGCTAAATTATTTGATGCATGGAACCAGGTAAAAACAGAAGAGAAATTGTGCCCTTATGCTTTGGTAGCCACTTTCTTACCAGTACACTGTATGGGTGAATACCAGCCCATTTTCACTTCTGAATTCCTTGTTTGTTGCAATTTCTTTTAACTTATCAGATGTCAGAGTGGGCATTAGTGACATCAGAGTAGAAATTAGTAGTAGTATAATATTCTATAGCTAAAACTATAGAGTAAACTAGGTAAACTTGATACTCAAAAAGCATTTTACCATGAAATTACAATGATTAATAGTGCATGATTGTTTGTTTTGAACTATAAAAAGATGCTTTAGGTGCTTTCTGATTCACCTATTCCCAGCTGTAATGTTGATATAGCAATCAGGTGGGAAAAAACATATTTTGGGGGGGACACATTTGCAAGGATGTTGCCATGATTACTCTTCCAACTGTACTCATAAAATCTTATTTTCATAAGACCACTTTTTTTGAAAAGTCTTTGTAGTCTAGACACACCCTTTATGTGCTTTCTTAGTGTTGTTTTTGTTTTTCTGATGGCTGTTTGCATCAGAAGATGGGTATTATTGTGCAGCCTGCCTTGTGAATACATTTTAAAGTTTGCCCCCATGGAAATTTTGTGTTTGAAAAGTTTAGTTTTGAAGTCTGAATTGATTCCTGAACCTATAACCCAAATGTTTTCAGGTTCTCCAAGCTTCAGAAGTAGCTTACAGTAAGCTCACTTGCACATCACACCTTCCATAATTTAAACGTCTCCTTGGAACTGCAGTGTGAACGGAGGGCATAAGGTCTGAGGAACATAATGCTTGGGCTGTCTTCTTCTGGAGCTGAGCTACTGAATTATTAATTAATCTAGTTTAAGTTTTCATACTGTAGCAGTGCAATGGGACTAAGTGAGGAAACATTTTGTGGTTTGTTTTTTTTTAAATTTGGGATCCATTTTCAATAAGATTGCATGTTTTTGTGTAGGAAACCAATAGTCAATGTCAAATCTTCTCATGGTTTGTTATAGTATACATCTTTATAGGTTTGTCTTAAAGCTGTAATAACTTCTGTAATAATCAAAAATTCTACATGCACCTGAGTAGTTTCTTCATTTTAGTCCCTCCAAGTTCATGAATGAGGAACTGAATTAAAAATAGCAGAGGAATTCAATATGGGAAGACATCAGAATAAAGAGAGTTAACTAGTTTACTTATGTATAGTGCATATTCCAAATTCACCGCAACAATTAATAATAATGAATTATTACTTTGTGTTACTACAGTGTCTGAGAGCCCCAGTTTTACTGTGTCAGTACTAGAAACAGAACAAAATATGGCCCCTGTCCCAAAAGACCTTAAAGTCTCAATTGCTCAAAGGTCATTATAAATTTTACCTTGCTGTCAGAGGCACTGATCACCTACAACTTCCACACGTTTACATTTTGAGTCAAAAGCCCTATAATTGTGAAGAACTCATGATGCAATAACAAAGATGTTCCAATTAACTTCAGTGGGACCAGGAATTTACTGATGGGTCACCTTTGATGCTAACACAATGAGAAAAATCAGATGGTGTTTTGTTTGGATTTTTCTTAGTTTTCTTGATGCAATTTATTAATTATTCATTGATAGCTACAGTCCCATATGAAATAAGTGTCTTCATAAACACAATACATCAGTAATTGACTTACATCAATATTAATTATTAATATTCAGTCATGTGACACAATGTGAGTGTTGTATTAACATCCATGAACTCGATGAAAATGAAAGATCCTGAAGTCTGTGCTCTTGCTTGTGGTCTTCAGCTCAAAGTTTTTGAGGATTTTAATTCTCTCTCACTTGAATCTGAAAAATAAAAATTCCCATAAAGATTTCCCTTGTGATACAGCTGTGCAAAACATGGTCTTTTAGAGCACTTTGTGTATCAGATTTAGACATAATTAAATATTTTTGACAAGGGAAACCAGAATTTGTGTTGAACAATTCAAGCTTGCCATTATGAACTTAAAGCCTGCTTTCAAGTAGAGAGCTCAGTTTGATCAAGAAAATGTCACTAATTGATTTCTCATGTCGTACATCAAAATGTCATGTTCTTAACGAAAGAAAGCAAAGAATGAATGCCATTTAAAATGTCAAGGTTTTCTCATAGAAGCTTATGGTTAGAGCTGCATATTGGCTGTTAGTTGACTCTAAAAGTTCTCTCTTGATTGCATATATTATTTTTCACTGTATTGTACCACTGAGGCTAAGCAGATAGCAAAAAAGCAAACAGCATCTCAAAACAGATATTCTTTGTAAACACAGTTATTTATTCTATGAGAGTTTAGTAGACACTATTTTGTTTTATCTTCTAAAAACAATGTATAATTGGGCTATAAAATAGGACTTTCGAAGTTGCTACAGTGAGCCATTAAAATTAGTGTTGAATTATAATTAATTTATTTTTTCAAAGTGAAATGAAAGACACTTTTTATTGTATTGGCACAATTTCCTCTCTGGAGTAATCTGAGCTTGACCAGGAATGAAATTGACCTAGTACATATAAGTGACCCTTTCTCTGACAGTGATTTTGAGATGTGTGCACTGGAGCAAACAAAGAGAGCTTGCTGGAGCTAACAAACAAGTGCTGTGCTACTTAGCGTAGTAACTGTTTTTTTGACTTTTTGCAGTGCAAGACATATGCCTGTGTTTTGGAAAGTCATCTTATGGGGCTTACCATCGACTTTGGCATGGGCTTTGTCTGTTTTGATGCTGCCACAAAGGTAAAGGTCTGAAACCTGCATCTAGTATGGTATTAATATTCTTTTCCCAAGTATTATATTTTGAGGTGGAGTGTTAAGCCATCCTTGAAATGTGTTCTTTCAGTATGTTTTTAGGGCACCATATGTCATGATCCTGGTGCTTTATTGTAATCCTGAGGAGGTCATTTCCGAATGATATGGGCTGTTGCAATCTGTAATGCAGTTGTTAAAAAGAAACAAGTATCAACCCTGGTCAAATGTCAAATCCTCATACTATAATTTAACAGACAAGCCCAAATGGATTTAGGTTGATGTTGTTCTTCTGGTATTGTCTGGTTTCCATTAACTTTTAAATAAATATCATCCTGTAGGAATCCATAGTGGCACATGAATTCCTCTATAAAAATCTGAAACAAAAAACAGGATTATGTAGCACTTTAAAGACTAACAAGATGGTTTATTAGGTGATGAGCTTTCATGGGCTAGACCCTGGCCCACGAAAGCTCCTCACCTAATAAACTATCTTGTTAGTCTTTAAAGTGCTACATAATCCTGTTTTTTGTTTCAGCTACACCAGACTAACATGGCTACATTTCTATCATTATTCAATAAAAATCTCATTCCTCATCTCCTATTACACTAATGAAGAATACTATGATTACTGCAATTTCAAATTTCAAAGTGAACTGTTCAAAATATATCTGTGGGATTAAAAAATGGTATTGAAACTTGTTAACATGTGAAAAGTGAATTTGAATAATGAATATAAACTTAAGGAAATCACAGTATATAAAGGTCATCCCTTAGGCAGAAAAGAGACTAAATTCTGAGTTGAGTGCTTGCTCAGCTTTTAATTATGGTGAGAGGAGATGACTCAGTTTTGAGCTCGTGTTGATCATTTTCAAGGACAATTTTGTAAATATGATTTAAGTTAAACAATTATATTTCTACCTAGTGATCAAGTTCATTTTTCTGGAAAGTTCAAAGGAGCCTTGGCTAGGCAGGAAGGATGCAGATGGAAACAATGCAAAGCAGAGATCAGTATGCAAGGCAGGAATGTGAATGGAAGCTAAACTAAAAAAAAAACACCTCTCCTGTAAAACATGTAATTGGTTTTTTTTAATTAGGATTTTTACAAACTTCCTTTTACTGCTCCAACTATCATTAGATATGTGCATTAATGAACACTGATGCAAGGAAAAAAATACTGGTTCCATTTTTTACATTTTTTTTGGCACTAGGGCATTAATAATTTAAAGACTACTTGACTTTTGTTCATTTTTAATTAAAAGATTTTTTCAAAAAGAAATTAAATTCAACTTCAGTCAAAAGCTATGAGAACCTGTCACAAGAGAACCTATCACAGACATTTCAGTTAACTTGGAGTTTCACTTCCAGCCAAAAATGCAGATATGAACCTATATAACTGAACCTATTGGCATATGTTTGGCCCAGTTTTTCTTCCACAAGCAAATCCAAGTTATTTGATTCCATTTCCACCAAGCAGCCCCAGGCTCACATCCCTTTGTCAGTTTTATTTCCACTCGGCCTCTTTCTCCCAGAGTGTTTCATCTTCTTGGATATGAGTGACATACAAGCCCTTTTCATATATTCATAGACTTTACAGCCAGAAGGAAACATTAAATCTAATCAGAACTATATATAAGAGGCCATTAAGAGTCATCATTTTAGCACCGTACTGAGCCCACTTCTGCCATCTTGATGGGTAGCTCCCTCCCCTTTTCAGAGGATTTTATGGGTAGTTGACTGGATGGCCCACTCTTCTACCTGCCACATCCAAGGAGATGGGTGCCTCCATCCATCCCAAGTTCGAAGCATCAAAAACTAGATGCTCCAAGGAACAGCTTGCTTTAGCTCCCCTAGTTAAAATTCAAGCACTTTCCACTAGAATATTTTGTCTGATCTATTTTGGTTTCCACCAACCCCTTGTGGTTTCTGATGAAGAGTCAATAAGACTATTGCTGTGTTTTGAAACTTACTTCTTGGAACCAATAAAAAGCAGTTGGAAGTTTGAACTAAGTGCCCAGAATGCTCTGCTCTATTGAGAAATAGTTTCCCTGAATTTAAAACACTTCACACTCCAGTTAACTTAAACCCCAAAGAAAATCTTTCCCAAAATAATTATCAAGGCAGGTCTTCATTAAGCTGGGATACCTTTTGCCAATATCCCACAATTCTCAAGCTAAAGTTGAAGGCACTATGAAGTTTTCTCCAAAAGATTAATAACAGGAAACAAATTCAAAGACCCTTATTCTAATTTTATTCAGACCTTAGTCAGAAAAATATCCATAGAAGTCAGTGGCAGTTTGTCTGAGTGGGAAATGATTCAAGAAACCCAACAACAACAATGCTTAAACTGAACCCTTGATCATAGCCTGGCTTTTAAATGCATAATGGCTGTTATGTATGCCTGAACAGGGCATCCATCTAGTTTAACAGTCTGTTTGAAAGGATAGATTTCCATCTTGCATCAAGACGACAGATATATATAATTGGTATATTTCAGTGTACATCTGTGCTTATGTATTTCCTACCCATTTGCAACTTTACCAATGGTAAGATTTCATAACCAATCCCATGCTGTTGTGGTAATATTTATAAATAATATGTAAAAATATCTGATGAGCCAGCCAATCATCAGAAAAAAGCATACTATACGTATCTGTCGGGAATCACAGAAAACAAAATCACTGATCATTGAAGGAACATTAGTATGGGATATACCTAGAAAACTTAATAATTAATATCTGGCAAGGATCAAGAATTATGTGAAGTCAAATCTTAGCTACAGAAAAAAGGACCAAATTCAACTCCATCTTTCATATAATATGACAACACCATTCATATAATTGGAATCACACATAGGCTACATCTACACTGGCTGGTCTTGCACAAGAAGCTATTCAAATGAGGCTTGGCATTGCGCCACTCCTCATTTGCATACTTAATGGGCTGCCATTTTTGTGCAGGGGCTTTTGCGCAAGTAGGTGCCATCTACACTGCTACTTCTTGTTCAAAACCCCCCTCTTGTGCAAGAGTTGTTCTGCTGCTTATTTTCAGCCAGAACGGCTCTTGTGCAATGGGGGGGGGGGGTGTTTGTGCAAGAAGGAGCAGTGTAGGCTGCTCCTTCTTGTGCAAAAGCCCCGTGAGCAAAAATGGCAGCTCATTAAGTATGCAAATGAGGCACGGTGATAAATATCACCATCTACAAGACTGGCCAGTGTAGACGTAGCCATAGTGAATATAGGCCCCTAAAAGTCATTGTGCAGGATAAAAAATGACTGCTGATTATGCCAAATCTCTAGGTATAATTCTTGCTGAATTTCAGTTGACCTTTACTTCCTGAGTTTGGTTGCTGCCACAAACTTGAGTTTAAAGTGTGCTTGGTTGGTCGGTTGGTTGCTTGTTTGTTTTTACCAAAGCATCAACTTCTCCTTACTAGCTCACTATTTCTCTCATATTATCCTTTTATGTATTATACTTGAAAGATCAAGGTTAGTATGTGATTAGGGTCTTCAGAAAAATACTGGGCATATTCATTAAGTAAATTCTCTCTGTAAGAGACAGATTAGAAAATTCTAAACCAGTTTATAGACCCTTAAAGACTTCACATTTAATTATCTATTTGTATAAATACACAATAGTTATACCATAGTTACCACAATAGTTCTCATGGTAAGTTTGGCTTTTAGTTTGTAACACTCTGATCTTTCTAAGAGACATTTCATCCTTTTCCCTTCATTCTACTCAGGTGTCATCTTTTGAGCACATTTAGAAAACCCTCTTCTACATTCTGGTGCATGGGTTACAGAGGTAACTCCTCATTTATGCCCTACTGATTTGCCTCTTTAAAATGTGAAAACTACTCTAGATCACACAGTCATCATAACAATAAGCCAGGTTATCCCCCCGCAACCCTGCACCGGGGTTGAGTAGTCACTCAAGCAAATAGTCCTGTTGAAATCAGTGAGATTACTCATGGAATAACTGTATATCAGTGTGAGTAGCCATCTGACAATCTGGGCCAGTATGATTAATAGTTCTCTAGTTCATTATTGGACATAACTAGTTGTACTGGCATTTATTTAAACAAGATAGCAGCGTTTTAATTGTTTTATTGTCCTTCTATCTTAATCTCAAATTACCACACTCACTTTTCTTTAATTACTTGATTTTTATTGAGTAATAATCTTGTATTCAATTTGGTGGCCAAATAATGGGCCAAATTTCACGAATGTGACAAAAAAGAAAGTCAATACTTATACATGTGTTTGCATGTAAGCAAGTCTCCGTGTAAATGTATATATCTAGGACTCTGTGGCTTGCTTCCCTGCCTGGAGTAATTCAACGAGCAGTAATGTTTCTCTTTGTAGCCTTAACATACTGTCTATCAACTTTGGTTCTTGTCTGCTTCATTTTAACTACCCAGTCTTCAGATACTCACTGATTCTCTTAACCTCCCTATTTTCTATGCTCTCTGCTCCCTGTCTCCCATTCCCCTCCTCCCCCCCCCCCCCCCCCCCCGTTTATTTTGGGTCTGCACATCCTAAACTCAGAACTCTGGTCATTTGAAGAAGTGGGCTGTGCCCATGAAAGCTCATGATACTATCTACATGTTTTGTTAGTCTATAAAGTGCTATCAGACAATTTGTTGTTTTTTCTGTACAGACTAACTCGGATACCCCCTCAAGCTTCAGTGATACAGACATTCAATTGTATTGACCCTATTTAAAGCTGATCACATCATATTTCAGTAAAAATATCTAGAAAACATTTTGCCGAATCTGTAAAAAAGTACATAAATATTGTCATGAAACCTATTTAAACTGTGTTATTTAAAATACATCCATAGTGTGAAGTGATTACAATTATGTTGAAATAAATCATACCATTCCTTTCTCTTATATATGCCCTGCTTTCTCTCATTCAAATGGCGCCAACAGCAGTTTATATGGTAGACAGTTTATGTTCCATTCAAATCAAAATAGCTTGTTTGTAAA